TCAACGCTCACAGGTTTGTAGAGCTCGACGAGCTCTATCGAACTATGTAAAGATGTTCAAGAAAAAATGTTTATTCTGCATTGGAATGATTGGCGTCGTATCTTTCTACCCCAAAATAGTGTACAATTTCTAAAACTTTCTTAAGTTCGACACTAAAATGTTTTGATAAAACTTACTATTTAGCACCAATAAATCCCGTTTTCGACGGGCTTTCATCTGGTATAAAATTCATTACTTTCCCTATTCGCAATTATAGCGTTACCCCCCCGGAAAAAAAACATTTTTACGCACCCTGTATGTTTTGAGAATGGCAAGCTCAGCTTATAGGATTTCAAAGGTACATCATAGTAAACCTGTTCAGAAAACCTAATTTTTTCATAGATCGACGTTCCCTGATGTCTACTTTAGGGATTGAAAATTGCAGATCTTCAGCTCTTACTGTTAAGAGGTTATTCAAATAACATCAGAGTTTGCTATTTTTTCAGACAGATAATATAGTTTGTTGCTGGTGCTTTTACTCAAATATTTATTTAAGGAATAGAAATAGAAAGAAAGGCAAATGTCACAGTAAAACTCACTTATATCACCTGGAGTTTTTTATGGTTTCACTACTAAATAGAAATTAACAATTAGTGTGTGAATGAGATAATAAAAGAAAGGTCAGAGAGAATTTTTTATCGTCATTGAAAAGCGTACTGTAATTGACATTTGTAATGAATATAGTCTGTGATTCATGATGTAAATAAGGCAATGTTAGGTATGTAAGTGTAGTTACTTTATTCTCTTTTATTCATCAGTACTGCTGAAAACATTCATTGAAAATTCTTCGGTATGTTCTAGAATGATCATACATACAATTTATTATCTCTATTACTTATTTCTATATCCGATCATCATACCATCATCTATAGTCTTAAGTCAAATTATAAGTCATCAATGTTCATGTAATTGTTGTTCTACGTATTCTGGTTGCATTCCAACTGTCGTTGGACAAGCAACATCTGCTTCTTGTACAACACAAGATTGTCAAACTGGATGTCGTCAACAATATTCATCACAATGTACAACTTATGGACAAGTACAAGCTACGTGTTTAACACCAACATTCAATTGTCAATGTAATTGTTGCCGTGGCTATGGTTGTACACTTGTTACAAACGTTATTCCAAGTGGTAGCGCATCTGTAACATCATTTTCATGTGATATAGCATCATGTACATTAGCATGTGCATCGAAATTACCATACTATTGTCCAACAGCAGAACTAGATGGTAAAACACAAGGACAATGTACGGGACAAGTTACAACAACAAGTACGACCACATTGCCTGAACTATTTCGTGGTAATAATTGTACATGTGCATGTTGTAGTTCTGGTTATTTTTGTGCTACATCTTTAACAAGTACACTTGTTGTTGGTTTTACATCAGCCACGTCTTGTCAACAATGTACACAAGAATGCATGAATAAATTTACCAATCAACGATGTGTATCATCGTCTTATCCATATGGACAACAATTAGTTGGAGTTTGTACAAATGCTATATTAACTACAAATCCTGGAACAGGACAATATCGTTGTCAATGTAACTGTTGTCCGTCATCAGGTGGACAATGTCAACAAAGTACAGTTAATTCACAAATATGTAGTGACTCAGCATGTACAAGTCAATGTATACAAACATATGGACAAGCACAATGTGCAAATACAAATGGACAGACAATTGGACAATGTATAGGAGGAAATGGATATATTGCTATACGACCACAGCAACAGTTAGTCGGATTCTATTTGGTAGTTGTTTCACTACGAGCTTTGTTTTCAAACTGTTTGTAAATAAAATTCAATGAGTATACCCACTAACCACCGAAGTATGCTTTCTTTTATTGTACGAATAGAAATTAACATAAACATGCATTTGTTATACTCTATCGGTAAACCAAATTTTTAGCATGTTATCGGTTATTTACAAAAATGACTTGATAAGACACATCGGTTTCACGATGTTCACGATAACGAGAAGTGTTACAAAGCTTAATTACAAGGCAAGCAGGTATTGGTTCTGCTGTGAAAAGGTATTAACATTCATCTATCTGAACGGAAAAACCACATATAATTAAAATTCTCCACTGACTGTGATAGGTACGCTATTCTCCGTTGATTATTGTCACACACTGGAAGGTACAACTGGAAATATCCGAGTGTGTACCATTTTATATCATATGTTCACTCAGCAGAGTAAAAGACTACGAGACTAGTTGATTATTTATTCTTAACATCTCGAGTGTCAAATGTAATTCGAATGCAACATAAGAATGGAAGCTATCTTTCAAGTTTCACGTGCTAAGGTGCTTACATCTTAGTTACCAAGTAGTGATTCAAGTGAATCAGCATCACTGCCATTGATGCCTACGCGTAATTTCTATGATTTAGTCATTAATAAAACAATAGCAACGACAGCTATTACACATAATAAACCTAGTATTGCATGAATTTGAAGTTTTGATTTAGCTGCCCTGTTTGTTACGATTTCATCTGACGTTTGAATAATAGGAGAAGGACCACCATTCTTATGACCATTACACAAAACTTCACCGAGTTCTTGTGCTGTAGAATCTATACAACAGGGCGTTTTGTCCGAATTCTTTGAAATACTGAAAGAGCAAATACCTGAAATTTTTGCTAAAAGAGTTTAGCCATACAACTGATAAAACAGTCCTATTAATTATACTGGGAAAATGAACAGTTTGCAGCTGGTGTATAAAAAGTCTAACACGGCCGGTGGCAAGCTCAACAAATTATTTTCGGAGTATACACATCGTGTACAGTTTTCCGGTTTCTTTTTTCCATAATAGACATTAATAAAAACAGAACACAAAAACATACCAAAAAAATTACTACTGATAACATCGAGTCGATTGCACAACTTCAATCGTTGTACAGAATACAGATACAGAACGGTGAATTTAGTTTTGTAGTTTACCACAAAGCTAAGTTCACATGTTCGAATCTCTATTCGTGCAAAAATTGATTTTGTGTTTTTCGATAGTTTTACTTTACAATACTATAATGGAATATTCTTCCGCTTGTATTCCGACAGAATAAAGCTTATATTAAAAAAAAAAGATATTAATCATAAGGGTACGCTTGAGCATAGAGCGATTTGCAAGCGTATACTTATATGTATATTTTTGCGGTTGGTTGAAAAAAGGACGTTTAAAATTATGTTATGAACGCTTTTTTTCAATATCATGTCTTAATTGTTCCTTTTTCCTTTTGGTTACTTAAATAATGAAACAATCTATACTATAGATTAATTGGCTTGAAAAATGCGAGATTTGTTCGTTTATGTTTTGGCATTCAAAATGGAAAATCGAAAAATGTATAAAAGGTCAATTAGCTTGCAAACTGGGCAGATACCAAACCATGACATCATTTTGACTGTTCAACAATTGAAAACTGCCAGTGTAAATAGTAATTGGTTTATTTCGAGCAACGTTTTTCGAAAACGTCCATCTCTGACACTATTCACGATTCTACCAGCAAAATAAACTTTATCAATTAGTCTAGTATGCGGAAATATTTTTCAAGATAACTCTTCAAACATGTATCTTATCAGCTTTTTATAATCACTTCTCATTGCCAAATTTTCTACGAGAGCAGTCTCAACAAAACGCGAAATTTATATTTTTTTTAAAAAAACGGTGAAAAACGCGTTCATTTTATAGAAAAAACTGGAAAAACGTGATTTTTTTAAAAACGATTAGGAACGCAAAAAAACACTGGCGTTTTCTTCTGTTTTCTTTAATATTAGACAAAAAACCCGCTTGAACGCTACTAGAAAAAAACGCGTTGATCTTCGTTTAACTTTTGGTTGTGTTTAGTTTGCCACACATTTTTGTTTAACGCTGTGGATGTGAACAAGGTACAGAATTGTTCTTCGCGTATTTTCTCATCTGGTGCGTATTTAGTTGAAAGCTATACATTGCCAAATTTTCTACGGGACTTGTCTCACCAAAACGAGAAAATAAAAAAACCGTCCTAATCCGGTTTTCGTAGACGTGTTGAAACGAGAAACTAGAAAAACGCCTTGTTTTCCGTTTGTTTTCTCATCGCACTGAAACCATCCGACCAGGGAACTTTTTCCTACGCGTTTCAAGGGAAAACGAAAAAAGACGCGATATCTCATTTTCTGGTTTCGGCACGTTTAGGAAAAAACGTTTTGGAACGCGAAATAAAACATGGCGTTTTGTCGCATTCGTGAAAAAAACCGAGAAAAACTGAGTTCTTTTAAAATTGCGTTGAAATCCAAAAATAAAAACTGGCGTTTCAGTCCGTTTTTTTTACAAATGGGACAAAACGCCATAGTTGTTTTTCTAAAGGGTGGCGCAGAATAAATTAGACTGTTAGTATTTTCAGTATTTCTCCTCTACTTTCCACTTGATCGAAACATATTTTTTTATTAAAAGATAGCCCTTCAAATTCTACACACAATGGTCTCCTTTATTTAACGATTATAGTTTCCTCCATTTTTCTGGATCGAACGTAATCGTACCGTAAACGTAAAACGACCCGTACAGAACGTAAAATGTTTTCTTTTTCAACTTTTTTGATGGAACGTTTTATTTCGTCGACCGGTGCTGCTTTTGTTGTTATGTGGTCCCAATTCATAGCTTGTGCTAGCTCGTTCCACAAACTTGATCCTCTTGGCTTTTTGAAGATCAGTCAATTTCGGTTGTTTGATTTTCTTGTACGGAAAGCATCCAAGATCTTCTCGTAATATCCGCTGGATGCTTCTTCTTGAAGTATTCGTGTCAGCAGACAATTTCCTTGTTGATACTCGTTTTTTCTTAGCTAGGCGCCATTTGACCTTTGAGGTATTGGCTTTTGTTCGAACTGTTCGTGGGCAGCCAGGTGGAGACGACAAATTGATAGTGCCGATGTTTTTCATCATTTTGATCCACAATTTAATTGTTTGTAATGAAACTACTCCGGCCAAATCGCGATAAATTTTCGCCGGTCCTTCACGTCACCATTTTCGTATTTATTTTTCACAGCTGTTTGTACTTCTTTACTTTTCATCCTTTTTCAAATATATCTAAAATAGTTGTTGGACTCAGTTATACATGGTTTTGTGCAGAATTTGAAGGGCTATCTTTTGATTACAAAATATGTTTCGATCAAATGAAAAATAGAGGAGAAATACTGAAAATACTAACAGTCTAATTTATTCTGCGCCACCCGTTAGTTTCCACACATCTAAAAAGAAAACGTTTTGGAACGCGTAACTCCACATCGTGTTTCGTCGCGTTAGTGAAAAAACTAAGAAAAACCGAGTTCTTTTACAAATGCGTTAAGATCCAAAAATAAAAACTGGCGTTTTAGTCCGTTATAGCAATGAACTTCCGCATTGTCATCATCATAGGCCATATAACCATTCTTTCGTTCATTGGTTCCGTAGTTTTGCTGAATCAAAAATGCTAAGCATGGCCAACAAAACACGTTGAAATAACATATTCGCTGGTTGAAAACTTTTCCTGCTCGATCAGTTGAATGTCTTTATTGAACACATTTACTCGTGTACTGTTAAGTTTATACGAATTGACAACGACGACAAATGGTATTTCTTTTACCATACAATGTCTTCAACGTAACAGAGTTCTCGGAAAAGATAAAAATTTTTTTACTAATTTTATGTGTATATTGTGTTTGATGATCGTCTGCTAAGTATTGAAACAGAAGAAAAAAATCTCCGAAAACGTCTTTTATGTAAATGAAGTGAGTGATTTGAAAGTCTGTCAGAATTCAATTTAGTCTATTCTTAACTCACTTTGTCGTAAGTATTTGACCATCCTTCAGATACTTTTCCGTTATAGGGGTTGAATTGGAAAACCATTGTTTGAATATTCTTATCAGTCGTGCATCTGCCATACTGTTTTCTATAATACAATTCATAACCAAAAAGGGATTAATCAAAACGACTTACATTAGCAAACTATCGGAGGCACAGTAAGACAGGTGTTTTTTGAATCGACAGTATTCTGCATTCTGCATAATATACAATAGGGGGTAAAATCTTATCGCCAATTCAGCATTACGCCAGTCATATTTTTCGCCCATTGACGAATCTGATAATACGAATTATTTTCATTATTGGGGTATGCCAAATTATTAATTCGCGAATTTGGCGAATGCCCTGAGGAATCTCGTCAATTGACGAACATGATGTCATGTCTAGCTGCTTCCAGATATGCTGCCCTAGTTCATATATGTTTCTTTCGTATTCTTTGTTCATGAATATACATAGGACTACATTTTAACAATGGTGATCATAATCATCCTCCAGATAGATTTGGTATGAAGTTGTCGGACAAAGTATAAATGTAAAGAATGTTGATCGAACAACTACAGATGGATATTTATTCGAAGATGAAGATGAAAATGATTAGTCAATAATATCATTAACTATGGACAAGCGAACTTATTCAATCATTTCATGTAACTAGTACAGTTTTTTCTTCATTTGAAATAAAAGTAATTTAAAGGACTAGTTAAATCATAAAGTTAATGATTATAATTGGCCAATGTCATACTAGTAGTTCGCCAATTTGGGGAATGTCCTGAGGCATTTCGCCAATTGGCTAACACGATAATACAAAAATATTTTAATTATTGGCGTATGCCACACTAGTAATTTGCCAACTGGCGAATTCCCTGAGGCATTTCGCCGTTGGCGAATATACCATTGGCGATATTACATAGAGTCATACAACAGATACCAAGCAGACTAGCATAGCATCTGAATTTCTGTATACTTGCTATAAGCAAAACCCGAAAAAAGTTTGTTTTGGGTAAGGGAGTACCCTATACCGAGCCTTATTCCATTTGAAAACGTTCCGCGGCCTCTGAATGTAACGACCCATTTACTTCTGGCTAAGAATCTTCCAAGCAAAGCAGAAAATAACGAAATAGATTCTTGTGCCACATGGAATTGTACTCATTCGCTAAACCAATCGTTGCCACACTTCAGTTCTTTCGACAGATGGCGGTACGGTCATAATGTAAATGTGGAAAACCACAATTATTTTACTAAAAGTAGTCCTTCTTTTAATGGCACGTGCCAAGAAGGTGGCCTCGCTCGATCGAGCTCGATATTTCCAAAAAATTTAAACTTTATTGCTTGTTTAAAGTAACAATTATATATTGACATTCTTTGAATTTTTTACGTTTCTTGTAAAACTAAGTATATTTAATATAATTGAAAAACATTTTTGTAAAATTATTTTCACAAAAAGCGAGCTTTCGATACTTCACAGTATCATCATCAGGCTAATATGACTGTGAATTTAGAAGAGAGATGAATATATGTCAGCGTCCAAACCCCGATTCAGGCCAATTCAGGATTGGCCTAGGTGAAATCAAGATCTTAGTTTGACCTAGTCCAAACTCCGATCTCACTTTTGCCTAGCTTTTTTCTAGTCCAAACTAAGATCTTGGTTTGAACTAGTCTAAAGTCAGATTACAAAGAAAATTTCAGGCAAATCTCAGATTGAACTAGGCCAAACTCAGATTCATTTTACTTCAGACCAAACTTAGATGACTTGTTGCTCATTTCTAGTTTTAATAAAGACAAATAAGAACTCTTTTACAACATTCTGTTCGCACTTCATCGTAATTGTTTAACATGGGTGATAATTCACAAGAGTTAATGACGTTGGACTATGATTTACCAACGGTTATTATTGAGGGTGATAATGGGGCTAAAAAGGATACTGTAGTCAATGATGGATCTACAATCGACCTACGTGAGGATAGTGACAATAGCAATGATAACAGGGAAAAAGCAGTCAATGCTAAAGTTGAAGATTATAAAAATGGTTTGTCATTATCAATGAGAGAAAAATCAATGATATCATATCGGTATGCTAGTAGAATTATTAATACGTTAAGACATGAAACAGCTGGAAAGAAAGTTGGAATAGATTGTAAATTTCATTCCTGGTGTCGCCAATGTTTTAAAATTGATATTAGTTCTGGGGTCGAAATGTTATGTTCGGCTAAAACATGGTAAAACGTTGATGATTTCGGAAGCATATTATCAAGTTTTACAAGATGTTCATATAAGAACTGGTCATGGTGATCGAGATAAAATGCGGCATGAAATAAATCAGTATTATTTTTGGATACCATCAAAAGTTGTTGATATTTTTTTATCGACATGTATTGCGTGCCAAGTACGGAAACCCTTAAAAAGTCATATTGTATCAACATCAATCGTTCCCATTGGTTCTCTAACAAGATTAGAAATAGATCTTACTGGTTTACGTATAAGACCCGATGGTGATTATAAATGGATTTTACATTGTAAAGACCATTTTAGTAAATTCTCATGGGCTTATCCATTAAGGACCAAAGAAGCTGCACACGTTGCTCAAAATTTGTCATCTTTATTCTACCAGTTTGGACTATCGTGGGTAATTCGTATCCTCTATCAATTAAATGCATTATTTTTTTTATTCTCTAGCAAAATATTACAATCTGATAATGGAAAAGAATTCACGGCTGGTGTTATTAAAGATTTAAAATTGATATGGCCTGGTTTAGCGATCATCAATGGTCGACCAAGACATCCCCAATCGCAGGGGTTAGTAGAAAGGAGTAATTCTACCTTATGTGATATTCTTGATAAAATTCTTCAAGATCGTGGTGCGGATAGATGGACAGAATGCTTACCAGTAGCAGTTTATTCAATGAACACTAGCTTAGCTCGTGATATTAAAACAACTCCATTTGAATGAAGAAAAATGGTGTTTTCTGCTCAACAAAATGTCATAAAAGTAATATATCTTGTCAAAATCAAGAAAACTAAAAACATTTCAAGACATTTCTCAGTTTGTACTGGTATTCTTTTTGGTTTAGGAGTGGGTTTTCTTGTTAAAAGATTTAAAACTGAGAAGAAAATCTGTTGATATGAAACTGCAGTTGTTTCATGTTTTAACGCATTAATAATTCTACTAGCATACCGATATGCTATAGGACAACATGAACCTGAGTTTGGCCTAGTTCAATCTGAGATTGGCCTTGAGAATTCAGTCCAATCTCGGATTGGCCTGAAATTTTCTTTGTAATCTGACTTTAGACTAGTTCAAACCAAGATCTTAGTTTGGACTAGAAAAAAGCTAGGCAAAAGTGAGATCGGAGTTTGGACTAGGTCAAACTAAGATCTTAATTTCACCTAGGCCAATCCTGAATTGGCCTGAATCGGGGTTTGGACGCTGACATACATTCATCTCTCTTCTAAATTCACAGTCATATTAGCCTGCTGATGATACTGTGAAGTATCGAAAGCTCGCTTTTTGTGAAAATGATTTTACAAAAATGTTTTTCAATTATATTAAATATACTTAGTAACAATTATAAAACTACATTAAAAATCTCTTTATTTCCTAACTAACGCTTTACTGTGGAGTCCATTTGAGCTACTGATCCAAGCTTGTTTTTTCTTCTTTCTTGCATGAATTTATGTGCTCCGATTAACAGTACACTGGATATGACCAACGCAGACCCTAACAGAACGTACAAGTTCGATTTCAACCTGGTAAACACGTTCTGCAGAATAATTGAATAGATAATATCACTGCTGGAAAGAATCGTCAAAATCGAAGGACTTTCACGTTTCACGGCTTTTTGTACCAGCACAGATGCACCGATTTGAGCTAAGCAAATGAACGATGCCAAGGCGTATTTCCATGTGAATATCAGTTGAAGAAATAATTTGTCCTGCAGTACAAAGTACTTGTAAAGTTGATTTATGATTAGCAAGAATAAGACGACGATCGTATACTGAAACATTATTACGCTCGGTTTGATTTTTAAATTGAACAGTTGTTTAAGCAAGAGAAAATGCATCGACGATGCAACAGCACAAATCAGTCCGATAGAAATGCCGATAAGACGACGTTGATTAGCCGATGATGATGAGATCTCTGTCGAGTTTTTGGTTACATTTGGAAAAAGTTGTTGTTGTTTCTGTGATGGAAAGATAAATGTTGGCTGTGCCACTAATATCACGCCGACAACGGTAAAAGGAATTGCCAAAATAATCGCTGCTGAAGGTTTTTCCTTATAGATGATGAGTCCGAGGAGGACAGTCCACACCACACGAGTGAAGCAAATGGTGGTCAGATCTGGTAAGGGAATGTATCGGTAACCAAGAAAGAAGCTCAAGGAGACATTAATAAAAGTAGTCTGGATAAAAGAAGACGAGGGAGGTAGAACAGTTCTGCAAAACTGATTCAGGCTTGTGTGCAGCTAAGCCTTATGATCACGGTGTCGTAAGTTTACAAGACTGTAGCGATCAAAACGTTTTTAATTTGAGAAAGAACTGTGAAGTGTTTTCAGTTTTATCCGCATCATTTTTCAATTTGTTTTGAACGTTTATCAAGGACGTATCTTATTAAGTTGGTTCAGGCTAGATCCCTGCGAAGACACTCAAACACCAGCGAAGTCTGGTTCTAGCGGAAAAAACGTGGAAAACTCCTCTTGCAGTGCTGTACAAATCGAATAGTTTATGTCTTATTTTCACGCATCACGTGCTACACTCGTATCTTCAAAAGATGTGCTCAGTCGTCCTCCTGTTAATATTTTGCAGCAAAGTTCAGCCCTAGCTGACAAGCTTAGAAACAAACATTTTACAAAAAAGAGTTCTACCGACTTATCAATTAATCTCTCTCGGCAGAAACTCGTTTCCTTCGCAAACCGCAAGAGCCTTGTTTAATTACTTGTTATTCGCGTCTAAACTAGGTGTGTGTTTAAACTATGCGCTTAAATTGTGTGCAAACGAAACTCTTTGTAAGTATATACAATCGATGTAGAACTCATCCAATAACACCCGTTGTAATATATACGATAAAATCAAGTTAATTTACGGGAAAAGTAAAATCTCCACTCTATCCTTTTTTCCATGTTTAACATCAATGTGATTAACTTACCGAGTAAATTGTGGCAAATACATAAACTAACGTCTTTCACACAAGAGTTATCGAAGTTCTTAGAAGTAACATCAAAATTAAGAGTAATGAGAGGAATGAATCGAATTGCTGATATCGGGTTTTATCAAATACGTTGTGAATTTTTGATATGGAGATCTGACTTAATAAGACGGCATATTTTACAAAACCCCGGCGATGATCTTAGTGACTGTTGTCAAAGTGAAACAATCGAGCACTTCTTTCTATCATGTCCAGTTTACTATTTAATTAAATTAAGACTTCGACAGAACAGAACATCGTGATTCGGTTGTCGACATAGATATTGAAAAACTGCTCCTATGGAAAATGTTCACTCAGTATTTTTATCAAAATCTTTATACTTCTTACTTATCTATTATTTTGCAACTAAAGCCATTCTTTTACTTAGATAAATATTTTTTATTTTTTATTGTTAATTTTCTTCTAGTTCGCTGCTTACTTATTGTTTTCGCTTTTATTTTTAACTGTATTCTGATTGTTACTGGTAATGTACGACATCGTGGAATTGCACTTCTTGCTATACAATGGCGTACCGATTTAACAGGAAGTGTCAAGAAGCTTATCTTATAATAAATATAGTTTAAACTAAACAAGAGTTCGATTTTTTTCAGTCAACAAAAGATAGCGGTTTGCAAAAATTTCAGATGAACTTTAAGCGCGTTGTTTTGTAATCCAGAATATTTTATACGTTTTGTTTTCTTTCGTTCGGGAAGATTTGCAGTTCAGCGAAGAAAACTGTCTGTTCGATTCCATTAAATCAGCTTTTTTTATAGTTGACTTGTTTTCGGCGTATTTGCGTTTCCATGTCTTTTTCTGCTTCAGAAAAAGCTTTGTTAACCCAAAATAAACGGCTGCTAGATGTTCCAACTGCGAAAACAAGGTCCAAAATCCCACCAGATTTAATGTTTTTTTTTAAAATTCTGAATCTGAATTCTTTCTCAGCCAAGAATAACAAAAAGCACCAACGCCAAAAGAGAGCAAAAAGGCCTGAAAAACGAGTGTGTAGAGGTTCAAAACTATTGTGTTTTTCGTCTGCACGTCGTTTATAGATATCTCTGAGGAATCCCGTCGTGCATGCTAGACAACACGCGAGTTGAAGTACTTGTTCCTTCACTGTGCCATTTTTAAGCAGTGGATATTTTCGATAGAAAATATACATGATTGAGACGAGGGTTTGTAGAAAGAATCGAAGTACCATAGCATCGAGGAAATCGATCCCGAGTTGTTTTATAATGAATGTTGAACCAACAAAAAGAAACGAAGCTGAGAGAAAATAAAATATGCCGGCTAAATTCTGAAGAAATGATTTTCGTGTCAGTAACAGAGGTTCTTCGATTTCATGTGCTAAAGGCAAGGAATCGATGGGACTAACATCGAGATATTCGATACTGCCCGACAGGTGATGATGATGATGATTCTGATGTGGGACACTTAGCAAATGTCCATTTGGTTGCTCAGACGGTTCTTCCGTGTCTTGACGATACATGTTTTTGATTTTACGTACTCACGGCAGTTGAAACTGGAAGAGTAAGTATAAGAACACGAAATACGTAATTTGTGTTTATCTGTCTATTCTTTTTTTCTACTTGTCTTTACGTTCGAGATACTTTAGATTTTTACTATTTTATTTTATAACTAAAGAAAAAATCGCATACTTCTTCTCCGTTCTTCAAAAAAACAATAAAAAACGACAATTGATATGAGCCACAAAAGTTGGATAAAAAATATGTACTTGGAAGAACACAAAAAGAAAAATTAGAATATGCATGCTCTTTTATTTAGAGCAATGAGATGAACTCAGTAACCCAAGTAGTCATAAAAGACAGCACTAGTGTTCACCATACTGGATGACGTTAAGCTGCACCCTTCGACAAAAGACTACATTCACCTCACTTCATCCATACTAAAAAAATATAGGTGAAAGATTCTGCCCAATCCCCGTCGATAATGTTACTGTCTAGGCAGAAAAATTACGATTCGTTTTGCGCGCATGCAGAAGCTTCCTCCTCATAGAAAATATCTAAGTTATACTTTCTTCCATTCCTTTTGCGGAAAAAGCAGGGCAACGGTAGACAAAGAAGAAAATCATAAGAATAACAGTTGTCTTAAATAATTCGTCCTAAACTATATGTTTCTGGTAATGTTTGATGCCTAGATGTTATGAATTCTTTAATTGTCTCACTTATAAGTGCGTATACTTGAAATTTATTTTGCGCACCAAATTATAAAGCATGTGGCTATCTTTTTGATTAACTCGAGAACGAAAAAGCTAGATGCGCTCATGGAACAACTGTGAAACATTATCTGAATGGCGCGTCTCAACGTGATATTGTTGTAAAACCATTTATTCCGCGAGTATTAACAACGTATATGATTAAATCTGTATTCTCAACTACAAGCGAAGGGTCGTAAACACTATACCAGATATGTTGATGACACTATAGCTATTCGGAAAGATAATACATTTCTAACAACAGTTTATAGAAGAGCAACTTTCAGCAGACTACTGACTAATTGATTGCCTTATGTACCAATGAGTTATCAAACAGAACTGTGTAAGTAGCATGGTTAAGCGTGCTGTCTCGATATGTTCCACTTATTAACTATTATCAAAAGAACTAGATAAAATAAGACAAATAACAAAACTCATATGGATACCCACGATCGTTTATCGATAACCCAACTAGTGTTTTAGTTACGCGAATATTGTTTAAATATTCGGATAATAATCAAAATTGTTTTCGTTCTAACAGTAACTATTCGAATAC